TACCCCCCATCCCCTCCTCCCGTCTCTCCCCACCCCGCGGGTGACGCGGGCGGGACCCGCCCCTGGTGGCGGCGAGGCGGGCGCTATAAAAGCGGGCGGCGGGGCCGGGCCCGCCCGCAGCGGGGGCCGAGCCGGGGGCCTGCGGGGCCCTCACAGCGCCGCTCGGAGCCTCCCCCAGCCCGGCCCATGGACGGGGCGCGGGGCTGCAATGGGTACGCGCGGCAGGAGCGGCCGCCCCCCATCCCCGCCGACAAGCCGCGGGTCCCCCCGGGCGGCGGTGGCGGGGATGGGGATGGGGATGGGTGGCGGGGGGAGCGTCCCCGCAGCGAGGAGGACGACGAGCTGAGCCTGCCCGGGCTGGCGGCCGCCTACACCTCCATCCTGCGGGGGCTGGGAGAGGACCCGCAGCGGCAGGGGCTGCTCAAGACGCCCTGGAGGGCGGCCACGGCCATGCAGTTCTTCACCAAGGGATACCAGGAGACCATCGCGGGTAGGGGAGCGGCTCTCCCGGGACGGGACGGGGATGGAGATGGAGCTTCTTGCCTGATGTGCCAGCAGGGGTGCCCCCTCTCCTGCTTTATTGCCTAACGCGGGCTCCGTCGCTGCCCTTGTCGCTGCACCGCCCGTCTGGTGCCCCTTGTCACTAGGTCAGCAATGCGTGTTAGAAACACCTGTGCCCTGCGGTCTCGCTGTCGCCTCTCTCCCCCGATTTCTCGTTAGTTTTGCGGTGGTTTTTGTTTGTTTGTTTGTTTGTTTGTTTTGTGCTTTTTTCCCCCTATTAAACTTTATGCTGGTAAAGTTCCCGTTCTGCCGTAAACTTCCACGCTCTTGTTTTGGGCGAGCAGTGCAAGCGCTGGTGCTTTTGCTTTCCCTCCTCTGCTGTGAACTTTTCAAGCTCTGGCACGGAAATTTGCGGATGGTGCCTTCCTCCGGCCCCGGCCGAGCGAGGCTGCGTTTCGGATGGGGTAGGATTATTTGTTTCTGTCGGCAGACGTAAGCGGTGTGAACTGTCTCAGGAAAGGTCCGGGTTTGCTGATGCTTTGAGCCGGGTGAGGTTTTTCGGAAGTGGCAGCGAAACTTAAGGAGGCGAGGTCAGGAGAAAGGAGGAGCTCGGGGAGATCCCTGCCCCGTCTCGGGGTCCCGGCAGCACACGAAGGTGTGGAGAGGTACCCCAGGTTCACATCCCTGCCCCGGCTGAGTGTCTGTGCTTGCTGGCTGAGGGCACGAGGAGAGGAATTAGGTGGGAGATGTTCTCCCCATCACGAAAAACTCCACAGATGTCTCTTGGTTACAAAGCAGCGTCAATACTGCTTGGAAATGTAGTTTTTACATCACTTTTTTCAGCCTTTTGGCTGTGGACTGTGTCCAGTGCAAACAATAAAAAAGGGATTGGGAAGCTTGGGAGTTCCCCCTTCCCCTCGTTCCAGTAAGAGGCAGGTTCCTGTCAGTAAGGGATGCAAATATTGTCAGCGAGGATCTCTGAGTGTGAACGAGGAAGGAGCTGGTCCCGTTCTGCTCTCAGAGCACAACACTGGGGTGCTGATCCTGCCCCAGAGCTGCACCGGGGCCTTGGGGCTGAATGCAAAGGCTGAGCTGTGCTGATGGATGGCATCAGGGAGCTCCTGCTGACGCCTGAGCCCTTTTCTAAGCTCACTCACTGTGCTGCCAGTTGAAGGCTTTTGTGTTCAGTTTCTTTTTCACTTCTCCGCTGTTGGCTCTTATGAAATCAGATTCCACGTAACTTCCAGCATCAACTTTCTCATGCCAGTGCTGTGTCCTGGCTTCCCCCAGGAATAGCATTTCTGCCTTGGAAGCTGTTCTGCCTTTCAGAACAAACCAGGATTTGGGGGTCACATCGGGAGATAAGCTCTGGGCTGCAGTGGCTGTCCCTGTTCCTCCCTTCCTTTGGTCCTGCTGCACCGTGTGTTTGAGATGAGGTTTCATGGAATGATCCTTTGTCTAGTGGGAGTAACTTTCCTCATTTTACTGCTGTGAAGCACAGGAGGTCTCTCAGCCATCCTGTCAGTCTCCAACAGAAGGAATTTCTCAGTGATAGTTTGAGCATGAATTTCTGTGCTGAACCTGGATGAGGTTGCTGCCCTTCTTAATCCCTCTCTTACCTTGCTGCCAGTTTTGTGATCACACACTGCCTTTAGTTGTTTAAAAAGCTTTTTTTTTTTTTTTTCTGCTCCAGCGTGGATTCTGTGGGATCTCAGTGGTCTCTCCTAATCTCATATAGGTTTCATTAAGCAGAGTAGTTCTGGATACTCTCCTCCTCTGAATATCCATACCTAGGAGAGAGCTGTGTTATGTCTAAGAGTAGAAAAAAGAAAGAAAAATCACTGCTGGGTGCTCCACTCTTGGACTGCTTTTTTCTTTTTTTTTTTTTTTTTTTTTTTTTTTTTTTAATTTTAGGAAATTATGGGAAGCTGTGATCTTTACATTCCTTCCTCTGTCAGGTGGGGAATCCTTTTACTTTCTAGCTACTCACCTCTTCTTGCAGGATGCTCAGCTTCCAGTTGTCCCACTCTTCCTGGCTGAAAAGAAAGAAGAGCTGTAGCTGAAGGACGAGTCCACAGCAGCCAACAAAGCAACCAGTGGATGAGGAGTTGCTTGGGGGAGGCAGTAGGGAAGTGAATTCTGCTTGGGAGAGTTTTAAATACCTCTTGAAACCCAGAGCCAACAAGTACAAGGAAATAAAGGACAGTTACAAGGGCTGCTGGTTCCATCTCTCCATGAAGGGTTTCTCAGGTGGAAGCTCGGTGGTGGTGGCTCTACAAACACGTGGCCAGAGGCAAAGTGTGTTGCAAGAGGCACCCAGACCTTGGCACGGTGTGGAGGTGCTGCCAGACCGTGCTGCCAGGGAAGAGTGGCACGAAGGAACAAGGGCAGTGGATGTTAGTAGAGCTGCAAGCTTTAAAATCAGCTTTCTGACCTCGTCTGCTTGAGCATCTGCCTTAGGGGGAGGCAGGAGATGGTGCTTTCATTTCCCAGAAAGGAACAACAAAGGAAGATGTAATAGATACACATCCAGATTATAGAATCATTACGATTCTGAAAGCAAAAGATCTCAGAGTCCAACTGTTCCCCCAGCACTAACCATGTCCCCAAGTGCCACATCCACACAGCTTTTAAATCCCTCCAGGGATGATGACTCCTCCATTGCCCTGGGCAGCCCGACCACCCTTTACAGGAAGAAATATTTCCCAATATCCAGTCTAAACCTCCCCTGGTGCAACCTGAGGCAGTTTCCTCGTGCCCTGGCCCTTGTTCCCAGGGAGCAGAGCCCAACCCCTGCCCGGCTCCACTCTTCTGTCAGGGAGTTTTGGAGAGCCAGAAGGTCCCCCCTGAGCCTCCTTTTTCTCCAGGCTGAGCCCCCCCAGCTCCCTCAGCTGCTCCTCATCAGATTGTGCTCCACTGCCCTTTCTGGGAAGTGCAGAGTTGCAAGTGCCCTGCCTGGGATCTGCAGTGCTTGACTTAATCCTCACTTATTATTGCTGTATTATTGTGGAGGGCTGGACTAGGTGGCCTTTAAGGGCCCCTTCCTGCCCAAAGCATTCCATGGTCTCTTTTATTTACTGTGTGTCTGAGAACATAATACATTTTGGGGCATGATTAAATGTGCTGGTCACTTGATCTCCTTTCCTGGGTGTTGTCCCTTTGCTCCCATGACACCTGATTGTATTTGTATTTTTTTGTACTTGCCACAGCTTAGCTTTGTAGTACTGAAGGCTACAGCTGAATTCTGTCCCTTCTCTCCATTCAGATTCCTGTGAGCAGCAGCAGAGGAGCTGATTCTGCTTTCCAGGTCCCACTGAGTGTGTATTTTCCTGGTTGTTTTTGGTAGTGCAGGGTAACAGTGCTCCTGCTTTACTCCTCATTCATCTTTGCTATCTGCATTCTGCAGCTGCTCAGTATTGCGTGTCAGAGCCATTAGTGGAGTTTACTCTGTTAAATATCTCAGTCAGGCTCTTCCTATTCATCCTGGATTGTCGCTTATTAATCCTGACTCTTCTAAAGGCCTCACCCTCTTTCTTTGACAGAACGTGTCCCTGTGTGTTGCTCTCACTTCTGTTGTACCAGTCATCAGGCTTTGAGTGGAGTAGCAGGGATGCCTCTGGTGATTTCAAATAAAATCCACCTTTGGGACCAGATTAAAAGTACTGACAGTTCACTGCAGGCACTTGGGCATCGGTGTAGACTGACAGTGGTTGCAACACAAACCCCTTTAGTGTGTTGGTAAGGATGGCAGGGCAGAAAAGTTACCAAAAAAACCCTTTTCAATTTTATGCAGTGCTTCTGCATGAGCATCCAAGAACATGTTTTTTTTTTTCCCCAGGGTCAGATCTACCAGCTTCTCACTTCTGGGGGGTAAATGATATTTCAAAATAATAATAATTTCAAAATCCTGCCCTTTTGGTTAACAGCAGCACTGTGACAGGCAAGTGCCTTTATCTTTCTTATTGCTGGTTCAGCCCATCACCTGCCACACAAAGACTAAACCTTGAGAGATCTGTCCCTTCTTTTACTAAAGGCTTAAAGTCATGCTCAGAGGTGCTGTCTGTGTATAAATACTACAAAGCACAAGTGTGTGCAAACGGGTGAATAAATGGGAATACCAGATTGCAGGCAGCACTACCTTGGAACGGAAGCTGAAGGCTTCAGAACCGGTCTTGCTGAGCAGAACTAAAATGGTAAATTATAAAACCTGTGTCGATCACAGTGCCAACGACGCTTTGGAAGGTAAATCATGAAGGAGCTGGTTTGGATTGTGTAATCCTGGAGGAAACACAAGGCACGGGGGCTGAACGAGCCGCCTGCATCTGCAGGAGGAAGTTAACTTATTTTCCTCCTCCGTAAACACTCCAAGCAAAACAGCGTGTTCACTAAACAGAGCATTGCTGCTGGTGGGGGGAGCTGATGCCAGAGAAGTCTCCCAGCCCTTGCTCGTGTGGGCATGGCAGCTCTCAAGGACGTTGGCAGGTTCAGCTGCCCTTTCCAGCGTGTTTAACAGGCAAGTGAAAATCAGAAATGCTGGGATGGGATAACTTTTGCTCTCTGAACCTCTGCGGCTTGAAAGGCTGCACGTTTCTTTATCTGCCTGGAAGGCGAGTGGTGACTCTTCCTCGTTAGTTCACGTGCTTTTCCTCCGCTGAAACAATTCACCCTTAATATTCCTTTCTCCCCATCTTGCCCGGGAGGATTTGGTGTGTTTTACAGACAGCGGTGGTGCGAGCTGATGGTTTTTTTTCCAGGGCTGCCCCTTTCGCTGCGGTGAGAGGTGCTTTGAGCATCGCTGTGTCGGAACACACGCAGGCAGTGCCTTGAGCAAACAAGGCTGTTTGATCAGCAGCGCTGCCCTTTGCTGAGGGCTGGTGAGGTGGATCCTTTCCTGGAATCGAGGTACTGCAGGTTCTCAGAACCGCGGAATATGCTGAGCTGGATGAATTCAACCTATTAGCAACCAATTAACAGCTGGAACATCAGCAT